TTGCTCTGCCAGGTAATATAAATAATGTCCTAGATTATGTTTAATCAATCACCGGGCGCTCTGGATCGCTGCCTCAGCAATGAGGAACAAGAAGTGTGGCGGGTCAATGGCAAGTGCAGATCTCTGCAGCAGAGAATGCGTTGGCCGCCCCAAATGACACATATTAATTCAAGTTTTATTTTAGGAAGTCTGAATTGTGCATAAATGAATGCTGATTTCTTATCTATTGAACTCCAGACTCTTATATCCAAATGTCTACTCCACAGATCCACTTGAATGTATAAAAAGCATCTCAAAAATCAACATGTTTAAAACTGAACTCTTTTCTACAAACCTGCTCCTTATAGTCTTCCTCTTCTCAGTTACCATCAATTCCATCCCTTCCAGTATGTAAGCCTAAAAAGTCTAGTCATGGTAAAAGACCTGTACTCAGAAAACTACAGGATGTTGAAATAAGAGATAGAGGAAGACATAAACAAATGAAAGAATATACGTGTTCATGGATTGGTAGAATCAACATCATTAAAATGCCCATACTACACTAAGCACCCTCTAGATTCAATGCAGTCTCCATTAAAATACCAATGGCATGTTTCACAGTCCTAAACAAACTCTTCAAAAATTCATCTGGAATAAAAAAAGCCCCTGAATAGCTTCAGTAATCCTGAGAAAGAACAAAATTGGAGGGATCACAATACTAGATATCAAGCTATATTACAAAGCCACTGTTCTCAAAACTTTCTGGTACTGGCACAAGAATAGACATATAGACCAATGGAACAGAAGAGAGAACCCAGAAATCGACCTACGCCATTATGCTCAATTAATATTTGACAAAGGAGACAAGAGCATACAATGTAGTCAAGACAGTCTCTTCAATAAATGGTGTTGGGAAAATTGGACAAGTACATTAAAAAAATGAAACTAGAACACCAACTTACACCATACATAAAAATAAACTCAAAATGGATAAAGGACTTAAACGTAAAATCATAACAATTTTAGAAGAATCTATAGGCAGCAAAATATCAGACATATGTTGTAGCAATATCTTTACCGATACAGCTTCTAGAACAATGAAACAAATGGGACTACATTAAAATAAAAAGCTTCTGCACAGCAAAAGAAACCACCAACAAAACAAAAAAGCACACTGCATAGGAGAACATATTTGCCAATGTTATCTCTGATAAGGCTTTAATCTCCAAAATTTACAGGAGATTGTAACTCATACAACTTAACAAAAGGAGATAAACAATCCAATAAAAAAAAAAAAATGGGCAAAGGCACTTTTTTTTTGAAAGAGGACATATAAAAGGCCAAGAGACATATAAAAATATGCTCAAAGTCAATAATCACCCTAGAGCTGAAAATCAAAATGACAATAAGGTACCATCTCACACCTGTCACAATGGCTATCATCAACAAATAACAAGTGCTGGCGAGGATGCGGAGAAAAAGGAACCTTCATGCACTGCTGATGGGAATGCAGACTGGTACAGCCACTATGGAGAACAGTATGGAGTTTCCGCATAAAACTAAAAATGAAACTCTCATTTGACCCAGTAATCCCACTTCTAGAAATATATCCCAAGAAACTAAAAACACCAATCTGAAAGGATAGATGCATCCCTATGTTCATAGCAGCACAATTCACCATACCTAAGATTTGGAAACAACCTAAGTGCCCATCAGCAGATGAGTGGATTAAAAAAACAGCATGGGTGGACCTGGAGAGCATTATGCTAAGTGAAATAAGCCAGTCGGAGAAAGATAAATATCACATGATCTCATTCATTTGTGGAATATGAGGAATAACACAAACTGATGAACAAAAATAGAGCCAGAGACATAGAAGCATCAAACAGACTGTCCAACCTAAGAGGAAAGGCAAGGGGGAGGGGTAGAGTAAGAGATCAACCAAAGGACTTGTATGCATGCATATGAGCATAATCAATGGACACAGACATAGGGAGGTGAGGGCATGTGCTCAGGGATGGGCGCAGCCAAGGAGAGATCAATGGGGGGAAAGGAGACTTACATAATGCCTTAATAAAGAATTTAAATTTTAAAAAAAAGTTTAATCATCATATTATAGATTAGCTTGAAAAGCTTAGAGTCATCAAATACTTTTCTCCTTTTTTAAATTATTGCACCTAATGTCAGCAAATTGTTTAATCTAGCTTCAAAATATAACAGATACTAAGCATGTCTCACCGCCTCCATTGCTACCAATGCCATCATCATCGAGCACCTGAACTATTGTAACAGCCTCCAAACTAGTCCTCCATTGCTTTTTCAGTCCATTCTCATTGCAGCTTCCAGAGGGATTATCACATCAGTTCCGATTTGTTATGGTTCTGGCAGCAGAGGTCACATTCTTCTATGGATACAAATTCTGGTTAAACCCTTTTCCATAACCCATCCTTCACTGGGCATTTCCTCTTCTTAATCCTTTAGGCCTACAGATTTCTGGCTACTGCTCATCACCAAATGCTCCACCATCCTTTGTGAGCTCCATTAATCCTCCTTTTAAACAGTTCTTTATCTTTAGTTGAAATCATTTTAGGTGTTTCATCTCCTTACCAGAACCCTTAGAAACGTAGCCATTAATTATATTAATTGCTTTTTTTTTTTTTTTTTTTTTTTTTTTTTACATGAAACCAACCTCGCATTTCTGAGATCCACTCAATTTGGTGAAAATGCATATTGTTATAGATGTTAGATTCAGTCTGCTAAATTCTTTGCAAGCCTTTGTATTTATGTTCATGAGAGAATGACCTGTTATTTTCCTTCCTCATTCTGTCCCTTTCAGATTTTTATATCAAGATGATGCCACCCTCATGCCAAGATTTCAGAGTCTTCCTTCGGATTCTACACTCAGAAAAAATTAGGTAAGATTTAAAGTACATATTCCTTAAATTTTATTATGTTTTGTAAAATCATCTGGCTTATTATTTCTTCTTTTATTTTTATTATTTCTTGTTGAACCACTTTTGCAAGCTAAATTTCTCCAAAATGTATCCATTTTGTTAGTTTTAAACTTACTAGGAAAAGTTGTAATATCTCTTTTAAACATCCTCATTTATACATGGTTCTGTCTCTTTTACATCACAATATTGTTTATTTATGAATTCTCTAAGTTTATTTTTTTTATTGGGCTTACCAGATTTGTCTCTCTTAGTATTTTCATAGAAGCAACATTTGACTTATTCTTCATATTATATATTTATTTCCTATTTCATTAATTTCTATTATCTTTTTTATTTTAAACCTTCTATTTTTCTTTATGTTTACTCACTTGTTCTTTTTACACATGAAATTGGATGCTTAGATTATTACTTTTTAACTTTTTTCTCCAATATAAGGCCCAGTCCTTTTTAAACCTCTTATAATAGTTACGACTTTCTACACAGTCCAAAAATAAGAGGAACAGAACACATGCTTTTTAAGGCTTCAGGTAGGGATCCCAATAAAATGCCTGTGTAAAGGCTATAAATGACATTTTAGGATTGGATGTAAGTAAAGAAATATATTTAAAACTGCTGGTCACTATTTCACTCTGCATTGGGGATGTAAACTCTAGGAGAGCAGGTCTTTTTGTTTCTCACTGATATACCCTCAGTGCCAGAACAGTACCTGAAACATGGGAGGCATTTAATACATTTTTTTTTTTTAGTCTATTAAATAAATCTGACAGGCAAATATGTAAGTTTACTTTTATCAATCTTAGTGAGTTAAATTTTTTTAGATAACACTATTAGAACATTTCACACAAGAAATGTTAACCATGATACCTAAAAACTTTTCAAAGAAGGCAATTATTTTCATTCAGAATATACTTTTCCTTCATTTTAGCTTAGTGTTTCCATTTCCTTCTCTAGATCATGTTAAATTTTAAGTATTCATAGTAAACCACAAGATGGCACACAAGACCTCATAAAAACATTTCTGATTTTTTTTTTTTTGGTCAAAATTTTACTACGTCGAAAACCTCTTTAAATCCAGGCAAGAGAGACCCAACTCTGGACCCTTTGCTTGAGGGCTAGGTTCTGCCTGCTGGAGTCTCTCATTCCCTGTGGGGTGAGACCACAAGGCCTAGAGGCATGGCCCTTATCCCCTGGACAGCTTTTCTGGTCAGTTCCAGGAGAGTGGATAGACATCTCGAGAGCACATTCCTAGGCTGGGCTGGTTAATCCTGAGACTAACAAGGTAAAACTGTAATATCCTTCCTGTATGAACCAATTAAGTAACTAAATATTTTTCTACAATATTGTTTCTAAAATTTTTTCTTGGCTAATCCTCTCTCAAGAATATTTTCCCATTGATTTTTAGAAAGAGTGGAAAGGGGAAAGAGAGACAGAAAGAGAAGCATGTATGTGAGAGAGACACATCGACTGGATGCCTCCACACACACCTTGACCAGAGCTGGGGATCAGAGCCGGGAATCGAGACTGCAATGTAGGTACATACCCTTGAATGGAATTAAATCGACCCTTCAATCCACAAGCAACACTCTTTTCACTGAGCCATGCTGGCTAGGGCCCTACAATATTGTTTTTTGATGTCCCAGTGACAAAGAGAGAAATTTCACTTCATTCATTGTTATGACTGAATATTTATTAATCCCGTTCAAGATAATTCAAATTTATTTTTTAAAGAAATATTTTTAAAAAAATTAAAAGTGGAAACATGGGACCATATCAAAAGATCTGAAAGTTTTGAGCTGAAATTTATTTCACTTCCTAAGAAACAAGCATTGCCTGGTTGTTGTTGTTTTTTTTTAGAAAAAGTGAATTTTATATATTATTTGCTTTCTTTGCCCTAACATCCAAAAGGTACACCTTTAGATCAATAAATAGTTATAAAATAAATGTTCAGAATTTAGTTATTAAGAGTGTGTCCAGACACTTCTATACAACCGTTTTCAATGGAAAAAATATCGAGTTTCAAGGAGTTATATATTCTCAATAAGCACTATAAATATATTTTGGCATTTACTAACTTAAGTAATCAAGGACTTGGTTTGAGGAGTCCAACAAACTGAATGTCTGCTTTTCAAGATTACTATTATCTTCTATTAACGGAGAGATTTTAGTATTTCTATATTCTAATAGTTCACCATCCTTGCTTGATGTCAACAGTTCATTATCGGCTACACCAATAGTTGCGTCTTCTACCAGTATACTGGCTTGGTATGCTCCAACTGTAATTTCAGGCAGTCCAATGTAGTCATGATCTGCCACTACTGAACTTTGTAAGAGATAAAGACTGTCTGAAAGAAGAAACGTAAGTTTGCCTTTTAGAATTATAATTAAACATCACTTCAAATTAAACAATGCTAAATGAAGAATTAACTAGCAAGATTAACTTTCATTGGATTCTCCTACCCACTAAACATTTGAGAATGAATAAAATAATATATGAATTTGAAAGTTTATATATATTGAAATAGTTACCACTTTGATATGCTAGAAATGCATTTATAGATCTTGAGCTTAAGTACTTATAAGTTATATTAGAATTAGTAACAAATGGACTTTACCAAACTTATTTGTCAGAATAAGTTTGTGATACATATGTGATACACACTCTATATATGTGACACACACACACACACACACACACACACACACTTTTTCTTTTAAACTAGAAGCCCGGTGCATGGATTCATGCACCAATGGGGCCCTTGCCTGGCCTGTACCCTCTTGCAATCTGGGACCCCTTGGGCCAGTTTTAGCCCAGTCCCTGCTGGCCAGGCTAAGGGACCCCACTGGTGTAGAAATCCATGCACCAGGCCTCTAGTATGCATTAAAAGATCTTTGGTTAATCTCTTCCTGCCTCCCCCCTTTCCTCTGAGATTCATCAGTCTGTTGAATATTTCCATGCTTGTGCATTGAGTGTCTGCTTCCTGGTGTGCATCATAGCTACTGGTCGAACAGTCACTTAGGCATATATGTAACTTATTGTAATAAGGATTATACTCAGCAAATTCTACACAAATGTAATAGAAAACTACTCTGGAGATTTCAAGCCTTGTTTATGTAGGGAAAAAAACAATATTCTCATTCATTCAGAAAGGTCAAATATGTTTAACTCCTACGACAGTCTGTCTACTGGAGCCAATAGAAATGCTCTTTAACTTAAAAAAAGATTACAAAAAATTACCAGAACAGTGACTCTTGAGACCTTAAGTACATATTGAAATAATATTTTTGATACACTAGGTTATATAAAATATATTATTAAAATTATTTTCATCTATTTGTACTTTTTAAATATGAATACTAGAAAATTTAAAGTTACATATTGCATATTTTTTGCATTGTATATCTATTGGATGGGACTGATCTAGAATTCTGAGTTAGGGATATAAAAAAGAACAAGATAAGTTCTGTCTTCACTAAAGAGAGATAAACATTTAAAAAAATATTTTTATTTATTTCAGAGAGGAAGGGAGGGGAAGAGATAGAAACATCAATGATGAGAGAGAATCATTGATTGGCTGTGCACTGCCATTGGTGATTGAGCCCTCAATCCGGGCCTTTACCTCCTGATTCACTGGTCAGTGCTCAACCAGTGACACTGGGTGGGCTAAACAAACATTTTTTAAGGACTTTTCTACTCAGTCCCATTACAGAAGTGACTAAGTATTTTTCTTTTCTCAATATATTGACTTAGTTATTTCTGATGAAAGCAATATTTCAGTTTATGCAGTTTTAAGGAGTAAAACATAAGTCTAAGCAGCAAATTATTTTTAGGCTTTTAAAGTTTATTGTGCTCATATTACCCTTTCTAAAGAATTTATTTATTTATTTACTTATTTATGTATTTTAATTCATTTTTCAGTTATAGTTGACATACAATATTATATTAGTTTCAGGTGTACATTCCAGTGATTAGATATTATTTAACTTATTAACTAATCACCCCAATAAACCTTGTACCCATCTGACACCATACACAGTTATTTATGAAATATTATTGAGTATTCCCTTTGCTGTAGTTTACACCCCCATGGCTATTCTGTAAAAGATTAAATTAAATTAAATATTCCTAAGGAGAAAAATAAATTAAGTCAAAGCCTCAGAGAAGTCTGAGTGATTTGGATTAATTTTGTTTTTTCAAATAGAAAGAAAAGTATAGGGTATAGGGTTTAAAAATACTTAATTTTCTTATTCAGAAGAGAGGTGACTTGATTATTCCTATACACTGAGAGGCCAGATTATTATGATCTCTGAACACATAATTATCTGGCCACTCAAAATATCTATATCTATATCTATATCTATATCTATACCTATATCTATATCTGCGGCCCGGTGCATTAATTCATGCATGGGTGGGGTCCGGCCAGCCTGGCCAGGGAGGGCAGATGGACGGTTGGACAGCCTGCCTGCTGTTGAACTCCTGGTCAAGGGAAAAATTTGCATATTAGCCTTTTATTATATAAATTATACATTGAGTGGCCAGATTATTATGCATTCAGAGATCATGATTATCTGGCCACTCAGTGTATATGGCCTGATAATCCTAAAACCATTAGAATGTGTTGCCATACTCATCTTCTCATGATAAAATAACAATAACTATAATTTGATAGTTATAATACAATAGTTTTTGTTGTAATAAATAACCAATACTAACAACAGAAAACTGAGTTTAGATTATATAAGTAAAAGGCCAAAGGGAGGCTCTTTGCATAAACTATATTAAATAAAGTCAAGATCATGGGTTTGATAATATAGAGACTGAGCTTTGTTTTGTTTCATGGATATAGTCAATATTGTGGTAGGCAGAAGAATGTGCCACTAAAGATCTCCATGTACTAATTTCTGGAATGTGTGAATATGTTACCTTGCATGGCAAAGATGAACTAGGATAGTGATGGAATTAAAGATACTAAGAAGCTTATGGAGAGTTTATCCTGGATTATCTGGTTGGGCCCAAAAACTATGGTTCTTAAATGTGGAAGATAGAAGTTTGGAGTGATATGATGTGAAAAGGACCACCTGCCATTGCTGACTTTGAAGATAGGAAGAGGTCCACAAGCCAAGCATTATAGGTAACCTCTAGGTGAAAAAGGCAAGGAAACAGATTCTTGTCTAGAGCCTACAGAAGGGAACAAAGCCCTAACAATGACTTGATTTTACTAGTAGCCCAGTGAGACCTATGTTGGACCTTCTAAGTTACTGAACTGAAAGATAATAAACTGTTATTGTTTTAAGCCACGAAAATTGTGATAATTTGTTCAGCAGCAATAGTAAACAACATGTAATGAAAACCATTTTACAAATTGTGAAGGGTCATCACACTGTATCTTTTGAGGGAGACAAACACAATCTATCACAATAACTCCGATCCAAAACAAAACAAACAAATGAAACTATTTCAAATCTATGATGGATAAAACAATGGTTCAATAACATTTTTCATCTCAAAGGGGAACATTATGATTACAAAGAGACACGATGATATATCATTAAATTTCTTGTTAAAATAATTAATCTTGAAAAGATGTCTGTCATTGGACTAGAGAGACAAAAATGACAAATAGGACTTGCTAAAATAATGAGAAACATTGTAGACGTAGTACAGAATGCGCTCTCTCTACACCATGTTCTGGATAAGAATGGATAAGAGGTTGGCATCAGAAGCATATCTGCTTTGGACAGTGAGCCTTTAATAAAACTAAAAAATCTTAAAGCTGATAAAAGTAGCAATGACACAAGTACAGACAAATTCATAGTTCTTTAGCTATAGCTCATCCAAATTTATATCAAATAAAAGAATGGGGTGCTTATTCAAAGACATTTTGTTTGCTTTACATTTAGTTCAAGATTCTATAAAATCAGCTTCTGAGGTGAAGATTTTCAGAAAAATATGTGATGTTGAAGAAAAGACTACAGATATCACATTATAGTCAAACCTCATTTCTAGAGCATCTCCCACCTCCAACAATTTGGTTCTTGATCAACGATTCACTGAGAAAAAATGTCTGTTATCAACCAAAACTTCAGTTTCAGATCTGACAACCCTTTCATACTAATACCAGCATATCAAAAAGCATCTCTCAGGCAACAAAGGACAGAATGCTTTAGTTGCTGTGGAAAACAAATGATTAGCACAATTTTAAAACATAAAGAGACCATCAAGAGTGCTAATATTCCCTAGCCAGTTTGGGTCAGTGGATAGAGCATTGGTGAGAGGACTGAAGGGTCCTGGTTCCCTTCAGGTCAAGAGCCTCCAGTTGCAGGCTCTCCTGGTTGGGTGTGGGAGGCAACCAGTCAATGTGTTCTCACTTCGATGTTTTTCTCTCCCTCTATCTCTAGTCCCTTCCTTGCACTCTCTCTAAAAATCAGTGGGAAAATATCCTCTGGTAAGGATAAACAAACAAACAAAAAAAGAATGCTAATGTTGCTAAGGGTGTGAAAGTACTCTTAAAGCAATCACATGCAAATGAACAGGTAGAAAACCTGTTGCTGACTGGATAAACAAAAGGCAGTTAGCCAGTGATTGCATTTCAGAGGCAGTGATAAATTGAAAAATTCATTTAAGGCCCTAGCTAGAGTGGCCCCTTAGACCAAAGGGTCCAATCAATGTGTGTGTCTCTCTCTGTCTCTTCCCCTGGGTCTAAAAATCAATTGAAAAAATATATACTTTGTTGAGGATATTTTTAAATAAAATAATTAAGGCTATTAGGAGATGGTTTAATGAATTTAGGAAGTGTTTATTTATAGATTAAATAGTACATTATACAGGCACTATATGTAATAAGGGTTAAAACAGGGAATCATTTGGGGGTCTGGAACGGATTAATTCAATTTACATTTTTTCTAATGGAATAAAAAGATTCACTTTTCAAATAAACCGCTACTCGAACAGCCTTCTGGAATGAATTAAGTTTGAGAACTGAAGTTCCACTGTATTTTGAGTTGCTGCAAATAAGAGAAACATAAAAAGGACCAAACAGTAATCATGAACCAGATTCCAAGATGGCTAGATCAACACTTTCTTGGTTAACAAGAAAAACAAGTTTACCCACCAATCTCAGGTTTCTTATGTGTACACTAGTACTAAAATTGCAACGTCCTTTATATACTGGAAAAAGTATCTGCAGAGAATTCAAGCAAGCAGCAAAGAGTATATAGCCTCTTTTTAGAAACTGTTATACATAACTGGATTCTGAAATATACAGAGAAACAAAATGTTTCTTGTTTCTTTGGCAAGAGCAAATTGCAAAATGTTGGAACAGATCCTGAAACAGGAATACTTTAAAAATAAATTTTGTATTAATGAGGTTAACACATTAGAAAGAAGCTGAATGTCAACGATTAAGAAGAAAATCATGCTAAAGAAAAAAGCACATGTACCCACATAAACTTTTTCTACAGAAGGGAGAAATCATAAAGGAGAGCCCAGAATTAAGAAACACAAGAAATAAAGTGCTTATCTTCTAACAAAGAAATTGAAGGCACCATGAGCTTTCAGAATTCTAATAGTTCAAGATAAGATTACTAATAGAGCAACTGGGTCTGTCACAAGCAGATGGAAAGGCACTAAGAGCTTCTAATGAGAGCTGTGACCCAAATCAGAATGACAACTGAACTATTGCTGAGTAAACAGACTGCAAGGGCTTCATCTATCTATACTAATAAAGGGTAATATGCGAATTAGACCAGGTCGACTAGCCATCTTCCGGACATCCACCTTTCTCCTGGACAAAGCCATGGTAGTGGAGGCCGAGGCAGAGAGGGCAGTTGGGGGCGAGATCAGGCCGGCAGGGGAGGGCAGAAAGGGGTGATCAGGCAGGCAGGCAGAGGCAGTTAGGAGCGACCAGGCAGGCAAGTGAGCCGTTAGCAATAGGAGCCAGTGGTACCAGATTGAGAGAGGGCTGTCCAACTGCCAGGATGTTCAACTAAACCGGCAGTCGGACATCCCCCAAGAGGTCCCCATCTGGAGAGGATGCAGGCTGGGCTGAGGGAACCCCTCCCCACTCCCATGCACAAATTTCGTGCACCAGGCCACTATATATATAAAAGCCAAGTGACTGGAATGTTGGAACGACTATAACAACCAATCACTATGACACCCACTGCAGCCAGCCAACCGGCCTGATTGAGGGGGAGCCCCCAACCTGCCCCTCTACCCCAATCAGGGGCGGGGGAGGCAGGCCAACCTCCTGCAGCCCTTCCCCCCAGCCAGCTGTGGCCCCTTCCCCCAGCCATCCCTACCTCAGTCACTTCCCCCCCAAATGGGAGAGTTGGCCGGCTGGACCAACCCATGCATGGATTTGTGCACTGGGCCTCTACTGTCCTATTAAGTGTAGGTTATCTGAACTCTTCTAATTATTATTAATACGGGTAAAGAACTCAGCTGTTTATCCTGTTTAAAACTATACTATATTATATCTTCTATAAATTGTTATTCATATTCAAATAATATTGATGCTTTATCTTTCTTTATGGAAAAGGCAAAATTAAATGGCTAAGGTAGCAAAGAACTCCTTCTCAGTTATCCACCACAGAGAAACTCTAGGGAGCAGATACACTAAGACAAAACAAAAGTCTCACAAAAGTGGGATTAATCTGAAACCCATAGCAAAATGTCATTTAGCTCTAGTCTATGAAAGAAAGGGTTAAAGAAATCAGGATATCTTGTCTGCTCAGTACCATTTTGGGGGGAAAGTATAACTTTGTTTAGGGTGTTATCACATCTTCTTATAGCACCTTATAACATTCTGAGTACACCCCATTCTGCCCCCTCCCCAATACCCATCTATAATGCAATGTTAAAAACTAATCACATTTAAGTCCTCTAATAAATTTATCTCACAACAGGATTTGGGACAGTATGTTTGTTTTTGGCATTATCTTAGTTGCTGATTTTTCATGCTAAAATGAGACATAAAGTTGCTCATAAAATACTGAATATGAAAGCAGAGAACACATAATTCATCTGTGAATTGGTTCAATATCGCTCACATGAACTATGGGAAAGTGTGAGAAACATTAGCAATCAAAATAAAATCTCTTTTAAGCCTGATGTTTCTAGAAGAGATAATTCTAATAAAACAGACTACTTGGGATCTAAAACTATACGAAGTTTTATGAAATGAAAATGCGTGGGGTTTTATTTTTAACTTCTCTCCTCATTCAAAGAAAGTAAAAATATAGAGAAGTGACAGATATTTACCTTGTTCACTGGATTCTCTTACATAGGGCTTAAGGTGAGACATTTTGATAGGTCTCTTAAGCCTAGTCCCAGTGTTGTCTCTCAGAACAGCACATCCACTTTCTGTAATATAGTCTATGACACAAGGACCAACCCATTCCGACTGGAAACGACCATCCTTCCACCAGTTTTTCCTTTGCCTTAAAACTTCATGACCCACTTTTAGATGAAATGGATTTAATTGCTTTGGTTTCTTTTTAACAATGATTTTGTCTTTATGTGTTTCATCAACAGTGTTATTCTCCATCTATAAGTATGGGACAGGGAAAAAGAGAAAGAAAGAGAACAAAGGTAATAAAGAGCTATAGCTTCTTGAAGGTAAATGCAGATAGTAAAAAAATGATTATTTATTAAGATACTACTTTAAAGTTAGGTATGAATCCCACTTAATCCTTAAAATAATATTTGAAAGTCAGCATTACCCCAACTTTACAAACAAAATAAAGTGTAGCAGATTAAGTAATTTGCACGTCAAAAACCAGAAAGCAATAAGATGAGGGATTTGAATTCTGCTCTACTTGAGTCCAAAATGCATGGTTTTTCTATAAATGTCTTTCAGAATTTCATTGCTAGTTTTAATCAAGACAAGCAGTATTTGGTGGGAAAAGAATTTGGTTTAAGGATGTATCAGATGTGTGTGTGTGTGTGTGTGTGTGTGTGTGTATGCTACAAAATTTAAAATATCACTTTATAGATTTTTCTGTAATAGAGTTTTCCATTAAATAGAATCACCTGGCTCACTGAAGTTGTCTTGTTCTCCATTATTTTATCAGCTTCTTTAATTGCACTTAGAATTTTGGCAAACATACTTGTATCATCAGCATCCACTTCATGGAGAACATCTGAAGTCTCAGGCATATAAGGATTTCGATTAAACATTTGAAAGTATGGCATATTTTTAGTAGGCTCCTGTTTTAAGTAAAATAAACAACAATTTACAATAAAACACTTATTTGGCAAGGAATACTCCTAATTTAAAAGTATAGAATTACAAAAAGGGACATACCAAGTGAGTTACATTGAAGGCAAATGAAACAGCTGATAGGTGATCATCCCAGTTGTGTGGGTAGTCAGCACAGTGTTTAGAAAGAAATGTTTTGATTGTTTTGGGTATACCTTCAGTCTGGTTAACAGCTTGAGAGGCATGAGAAATTACAATTTGCTTCATTCCAAACATTCCATACAGTTCAACATTGATCTGAAAATATATAAAACAAAGCTAACTTTAAATTTTTATTTTATTTTCCCTTGATTAAAAGACTTCAAAAAAAATTGAAACTTGCCTTTTGCACTGACCATGGTCATTTTATATAAAAACATGTTTTTTATTTAAAATAGTAATTATCACTTATTGAGTCCGATGTGCTGGTCAACGGACTAGATGCTTTATATTGTTGTCATTATACATGACAATCATATAAGGTAATATTAACCCCATTTTAAAGGTAAGAAGTAGAGCTTTGGTAAGTTTAGTGCCTTGGTAGAGACACACACATCAAGACAGTGGAAGAACAGAATTTAACATCAACTCTGAGTACAAATAACATTTTAATTCAGTAGTTTCTAAAAAACACTAGTCACATAATCCAATTATCAGCTATATGACCCTGGCCAACTCACCAAACCTCTGTGTACTGTTTCCTCATCTATAAAATCAGGAATATCCCACCCAGGATTCTTTTGAGGATTAAATGAGTAAATGTAAAGACATAAAACAGTTCTTTGCAATTTATAACTCATGATGTTACTATTATTGTTGTTGTAATGTACATGACCTAAAATGAGTTTAGAGCCCTGGCCAGTGTGTCTGAGTTGGTTGGGCGTCATCCTGTGCACCTAAAGGTTGTCTGTTTGATTCTCAGACATGGCACATGCTTGGGGTTGCAGGCTCCATCTCCAGTAGGGGGAATGCAGGAGGCACATGAATGATGCTTCACTCTAACATCAATATTTCTCTCTCCCTCTCCCTTCCTCTCTCTGTAAAATGAAAATCAATAAAAGAATATTTTTTTAAAAGTTACAAGTGCAATTGTTGGGCTTTTAATAGTTGTTGGGTGAACTAAGGTGGTACTAGTTTTTTTGTTTGTTTTGTTTTTTTGTTTGCCCATTACCTTGCCCCTCTAACTAAAATGTAGACTTTGTGGCATGGGCTCTGGCAGCAAAACTGGAAGCACAAGCTTGACAGTCACCTCTTAAAGATGGAACAGTAAGCTAGAAGCATCAGTTCCCAATGACACTCAGAGTTACCCTTCCTGGGCCTTCTTTTACCTAAATTTATATACTGGAAGGAGAAGTATTCTGTGTTAAGTAAAATAAACAACAATTTACAATAAAACATTTATTTGGCAAGGAATACTCCTTGCAGCTGAATAAAATTTCTAGCTAATATACTATGTCCTAGTAAGCTAGCTCCTTTTAATTAAGAAATAATTAAAAAGAAATCCCAGAGAATAGGTATATTTGGGTAAGCTTCAATCTGGGGTCATATCAGTGGTTTTAAGTGGCACCTTTGGAATGGCTTCAACTTCTTTCTTTCAGGAAATTGCCTAGGAATGATCCAGTGAATCCACTTGTGAGATGCTATCTTGATATCCTTACCACAATAGCCTTTCCCATTAAACCAGACATCCCACTAGTGGTTACAATTTTTGTTTTCCATAAAACATATTTCTAAAATTAAAGAAGCAATTTTACATTTGAAAATGTTTATTCTCTTTTCTTCAGAGGCTTATAAAAATCTATATTTTATTGAAACAATTAGCAAATATTCTGAGCCAAGTTACAATAGAAATGTATATTTTCATCCAACTAAATGATAAATCTCCCATTTTGTGTACACTGTTCTAATCTTATTACAATATTTTACCAATGTTTTATGTATTTGCTGACAAAATAAAACATTTGGAAGTCATTATGCTTTCTTTGTAATATTTAAGCCATTTAAATCACAGCAAAAAGGACACATTTTCCCAATCATGTGTAATTTTTAAATTTTTGTATTATTAAACCTCTTAAAAGAGACTTATAAATATTTATTGTTGCCTTTGGTAAAATTTTCAAAGTGCTGGATTATTATGATTTTAAACATGACTGGAAAAACTGCTGGTGATTCATATTGGCTTTATGCTGTCATTATTTCATTTCTTGAAGCACTATATGCACTTAAGGTGAGGCTCCTCATTAATAGAGGTAAAAGCAAATATTTCCAAATAGTGTTCTTTATAATTTTGAAGTTTGGTGGCCAATTTCCTATCAGATTGGATTAGTTCATATTTATTTTCATTTCATTAATGTGCTTATGAAAGATCTAATATCACAAGTTAATTAAAAGAGTCAGCTCTATCATTTTCTTGTGTTGATAGGGACTGCATTATTGATATTATCATGTTTTATTACAAGAAACTTATGCCACCTGGCTACTCTGTGAGGATTCACTTTGCTGAAAATTACACGATAGCCATAAATTCAATTATTGCTGAAAGTAAGACACAGGGAACCACTGAAGATTTCTATATATTGAGGATTCTCACTTTTCTCCTTTTTTAAAAAAATATTCTGTATTGACATTTTACAGAGAGGAAGGGAGAGGGATAGAAAGTTAGAAATATCTATCAGCTGCCTCTTGCACACTCTCTACTGGGGATGTGCCGACTACCAAGGTACATGCCCTTGACCAGAATCAAACCTGGGACCCTTCAGTCCACAGACCGACACTCTATCCACTGAGCCAAACCAGTCAGGACTCTCACTTTTCTCTTATGATACCTTCACACAGTGGGTGTGACACACAATCATTTGCCTTATTGACTCAGGATGATATTATCAATCTGTCCACATTATCAGTAAAGCTGTATCTCTTTCTTATTAGATAAAAAAGAAATATAAACAGAAGGTCTAATATTGTCATCAAACAAAACAGGGCCTTACATCCCTATTTTGCAGATTCCTGCTGTCAGTCAAGTTAGATAAGACTACGTGGCAGTTACAAAATACATTCAAGTTTCTGTGGCTTAATTCAACAGTTTTACCATTTGCTCATTCAAAGTCAGTTGTAGGTCAGAATGTCTTTCCAAAGCAACTATCTCCACCAGGTGCCTCAGCAATTCTGGATGAGAGAAATCCCATCACTCTCTAGTATAGTATCTAGAATATTCTGTCAATTCTCCAGAGAAAAGAGTAAGATTGGGAGATTGAAGAACTGGGCTTGAATTTTTCACTACCTTGGGCTGTAAAAGTGGCACACATCCATCCATCCACTCAATTTCTTTGGCTAGAACTAGTTACTTGGGCTTCTCTACCTACAAGAGAAGGAGCCATCTATATCTGAAGAGTATGAGAACCAATTATTGCTGAGCACTAGTAATTGATATGACAAAAGCAACAGATAATTATCCATATTTTAATCACTAAAATTATAAAAGCAATTTGATAATACATATAAACTGAAAAACTAAGAAAAAAATCTATAATCTTATTCCTTTTAAAAATAATTCCATGGTTAACCTTATGGGTTTTTATTTTAGTGTTTTAATATCTATTTTTTACATAATTATCTATGTCAATAAATGAATATGCAATATATATGTAATAAAATCCTTTACTCAGATTTTTGTTTGTTTGTTTAATCCTCAACTGAGAATATGTTTACTGATTTTAGAGCTTAGACCTCAGCTATCTTACCTGATGAATGAATTCATCTCTTTGGTCCATTATTATTTTCTGAGGAGGTCCATATAAGAAAAATATATTGATAATAGCTTTAGAAACTTCTGATGCTGAAACATCACACAGAGGCAAAATCACAACCCATTTTGTGAACAAATCTGTCATGATTATAGTATATACATGACGTCTGTTGCTTATATGAAATGGACCCATTAGATCAACAGTAACTATACTCCATGGATTTTCCACCTTGAGGTGCTGTTTAGGTGCTAGAATAACTGTATTTTTTGCCACTTGACAATGATGACAAGCATATACCTGCAAAACAGGCACACAGTGAAGAAAAGACGTAAACTTTAATATATTCAACATAATAAAAGCAGTCTTACAAAGCTAAAACTTTAATAGATGAAAGGTTCTTTGTGTATTGAAGAAGAAATTTCTGGATTATTCTAGAATAGAACAAAACCTTCTATTCAAGGCCGCCTAAGACCATCGGAAAACACAGATATTTACATTACGATTCATTAACAGTAACAAAATTACAGTTATGAAGTAGCAACAAAAACAATTTTATGGTTGGGGGTCATCACAATATGAGAAACTGTATTAAAGGGTCACAGCATTAGAAAGGTTGAGAACCACTCTCCTAGGGGGTTATAAAGTTACAAAACTCAGACTAATTTCATTATTTTCACATCTTGACTTTGCATTTAGTTGGTTTTAGGTTTCTGCCATATTTGACATTTTCTGATGAAATGGGCACAAAAGATGACAGCACACATAGGACCTGACTTTTCATGAACATATTCACTTCACGAGTTCATATAAAGATTGCATGACTGCCATCAATGAGGTCTTTTAGTTAACGGAATTTCAACCCCATTTATATTCTGCCTATATAATAGAGATAAATGATGGAAGTCTGGTTCTAAAAAATCTGTCTAAATATAATGTTTAAATAATGCTTTGTTCTAGTTCATATTATACTTTAGTGATTTTAAAGAAGAATTCTGAAGGAAAATAAAACACCCAAAATGTTTCTGTACAGAAATTACCCACACAAATGGTACTAAACCATTTGTATGTTTTATAGACGCAAGTAGCGGGCCTTTTTTAATTAAATTCAAAATACTGTGGCAGTTAACTGGTTAATGAAAACTGCTATCCAGAGTAAATCTGAAGCAATAATGAATTTTGGATATCTATTACAGTTACATTATTCAAGATATTCTAAATAAGAGCCATACCCACTGTTTGACATCATTGGTCACCGAAGTCCAGTAGTAATTGGATTCCACTAGAGTGAGAGTTCTGGATATGCCATGATGGGCTCCAGTGTTGTTTTCATGGCATTCTCTTAGGACTTTCTTTTTTTCTTCTTCTGAAATAATTACCAAACGATTTTGTTTTCTGTCTTTTCCAACATAAAACAACTTTTTATCTGGAATGAGACAAAAATATAATTGCAATTTTTAGAGATCTATATAATTTTAAGATAATCATGGCCTTTTTCTTTAAACCATGAGGGTTTGTTTTTTTTTTTTTTTAATTAAAAACCGTTTTATCTCTAAGACAGAATATTTGTAATGATGCTAACATACAATCTGAAAGGCTCTCAGCTGTTAAGGCTTACTAGATATATATGAGGAGCACTAGCTTCTATAACTACTTAACTAGCTTGCTCACCAAAACAAGGAAACTAAGGAAGTATGAAATTAACTTTTTATGGGTTACTCAAACTAGAAAAATACTTGTAAACATTTTTTACATGAATGATTAAATAAATAAATAAATAAATCCTCACTTTACTCTAAGAAGTATGTCTGTTCTTAAGCTTAAGGGAGTTATGTACACACTGAGAAATGAATAGGTGTTTATTTATTACTAGAGGCCTGGGGCAAAAATTCATGCAACAGTGGGGTCCCTCAGCCTGGCCTGTGGGATCAGGCCAAAACCAGCTCTCTGACATCCCCCGAGGGGTCCCGGTTTCGAGAGGCAACAATCTAGGCCGAGGGACCACACAGGTGCATGATGGGGGCTGGGAAGGGACATGGGAGGTTGGCCAGCCAGAGAGAGACCACAGGAGGGCTCCAGGGTGTCCAGCCCATCTCACTCAGTCCTGATTGGCTGGACCCCAGCAGCAAGATAACCTACCAGTCGGAGCATCTGCCCCCTGGTTGTCAGTGTGTGTCATAATGAGCAGTTGAGCAGCCTTAGCATATTACACTTTGATTGGTTGAATGGATGACCAGACAACTGAACACTTAACATATTAGACTTTTATTATATAGGATCATAGAATTTTCTTGACTTTCTTTGAGGAAAGCCTGATTCTGTGCCTTTAGCCAAAATTCTCATTAGTAGCACCAACATTCAGTTATCTGGTGATTATACCTCTTATTTCATTCCAAACTTTCCTTCCTCTTTGGAAGAGGGCAAAGAGGCAAAAATTATCATAAACTTTCAATACATATATTCTACTGCCTAATATTTAACCCATTCAGAAATTATTTAATAGCAGTGAAAGGAGGGAACCACAGAAATAAGTATAATAAACAAACAAATGAACTTTGTCAACATTTTCATATTAAGCATCAAGTAAGTTTTTTATTGATGGTAAGTGCTTCAAAAATACACCAGTAGGAACCAACTGAGGGAAAAAGCAGGCAAGGTTAATTCAGGTATATGTTATTATTTTTTATCTCAAGGTATCATTTTCTGTCTATAAATTTAAATGCCCTTTTCATGGCCTTCAGTTAGCTTTTGTGTGATTTTATTTTGCTTTGGACTGAGTGTCATCATCTATTCATCTAGTAATTGTTTGGCAACAACCAATTACTACAGAAACTCTCAGGATTCCACAAAGAACACATATGGAGAAGCATTCGTATTAACTCTACATTCAAGATTTGGGGCCTTAATTTTACCTTTGAAGACAAATTTTTTTGCCGCTCTTCTTATTCCACTTCTCTCACTCGGCAGTGTAGTTGGATGATATTCACCAGTTCGTTTATAATATGCAATTTGTTTAAGATGAAGTTCACCGTTTTTTCCACTACGTACCATTATGAACCTAGATAAAAGATATTTAAAGATATAGTTTAGTCCCGCTGATGTGGCTCAGTGATTAAGCATCGATCTATGAACCAGGAAGTCACAATTGGATTCCCAGTCAGGGCAAATGCCTGGGTTACAGGCTTGATCCCCAGTAGGGGGCGTGCAGGAGGCAGCAGATCAAGGATTCTCTCTCATCACTGATGTTTCTATTCTTCTTTTCCTTTCCTTTTCTCTCTCTGAGCTCAATAAAAAAATAATTACATATATATGTATTTAAAATATATAATTTAAATAAGCTAGTTCAGTTGCTTTTTCAGTTCAGATTCTGTTACACTTCTGCTTTACATATGAATTGAATGTTCACAAAATATTACCTGAGAGAGATTACTGTATTGTAGTACAGAAAAGGAACAGTATGATGTATAAGAGCTAAAATATTTAAATATTGTTTTTGAAATATATCATGACAAATTATCTTGTCTCTTTCTATGTGGTAAGAAATGTTGACAATTTTCCACATATTGGGGGGAAAAGGAAATGAAAAAGTACACTTCAAAGAGTTTTGTTTAAAGTCTCTCAGTACCCATTAATTAAAGTGTTACTTACACAGGATGGTTCTGTTGACATTTAAATAAACAATAGGTTATAAAGAGAGAAATTCAGCTTTATATTACTTCTATATATTTATGGTCATTTCAAAATGCCAAAAAACAAAACAAACAAACAAAACACACACACACACACACACACACACACAAAAAAAAAAAAACCACACAACTCTATTCAAATCATTTATGGGAAAGATATATTTTGGAAATGTTCATATAATAAAGAAGAAAGGAGATATTTAGTTATTCTAAAGCTCATACACTCTTCTGAACAATACATAGGCTGCTTTTTTTTTTAATAGAAATTATTTTTTATTTTATGTATACTTTGTTATAAAGAAAAATCTGGTTATATAGGTCAAAATAAAGGAACACTTCTCTATTTTAGTTTTCTTTAAAAAGAAAAAAATTTCTTTCATATTTTCAGTTTCTGTTTGGCACCACCCCCACCCCATCCAGAATCACTTTCTGCTTTTCTCTCCTGCTGCTGAGCCCTAGGAGACTGACCTTTACAGGCTGCATTTATAGCTTTCTATCCCACGAAGTCCATTCTGCACAAATAAGACAGATTGGGGTGGGAAACAGGAAGGTCAGTACAGTTAGGGACAACTGCATAATTTAGGCAAGAAATGATAAAATTCTGAGTCAAAGCAGTATCAGTGGAAATGGACAGATAGATTTTATAAGAATCGTGACCGACTGGATCGTGAGTGAATGAAATTAAGAGGCTGGGATCATTTCTGAAGTTCTGGCTTAGGGAGAACAATGACAGGATTGTACATGTTATATTGAGCTCATGGATGACCTAAGCAGGTAGATAAAGTTAAGGCAGTGGAAGAAGGATTTCATGGAAAGTGCACCTAAAAAGAACAGTAGACAAATCCTTATGTCCTTTAACATTCACATTGATGAATACGGTCATCTATGAATCCTTCCTGACCACATCATCCTCTCAGGTAGAATTGTGCACACCTTCCTTGGTGCACCCATAATACGTACACCACTTTCATAAAATCTGCAACACTTTATTCAACTTATTAGTTTATATGTCTCTCTCCAAATACTAGTATATTGGAAATCCCTCAGCAAGATGAGATTAACCAGAGAAATAGGAAAAAAAGAAACAGAAGAGGTTCTGTCATGGATGTCTAGAAATAAAGAGCTCTTGAACACCAAGTAAAGGAGAGGTTGCATAATATCAGAACTAAAATTTGTCTAGTGGTTTTGATAATAGAGTAGCACAAAGCAGGTGGAAACCAGACTAAGGAAACACTGAAAAAATGTACTTAATAAGTTTAATTTAGTTGTGAAGACAGTTGCTAGAGACAAATATGAGGTTTATTCACTGACCTAAAAAAATATTATTGAGCTCCTGCCATGTGTCGGACCCACACTGGAGATACAATAATAAACAAGACAGTATTCTCTAAACCCTTATGGAGTTTACATTCTATTAGGGTTAAAGGATTGTTTTGGCATCCAAGTTTATAGCAGCATTATTCACAATAGCCAAAAGGTGGCAGCAACCCAAGTTTCCATCACTGGATGAATGGATAAACAAAATGGGATATATGCATACAATGGAATAATTATTCAACCTTAAAAAACAAAGGAAATTCTGACACATACTAAAACATGGACATTATGGCTAATGTAAAATAAGTCAGTAGCAAAAACACATACTGTATAAGCCTATATATGAGGTACCTAGAGAAGTTAAATTTATAGAGACAGAAAGTAGAATGGTGTTTGTCTGGGTGTGGGGGTTGGTAGTAAAGGAGAGTTAGAGTTTCAATTATGCAAGAAAAAAGCATTCAGAAATTGTTCATGAAAAGATGAGTTTTCAATGCAGAAAACTTCATTTTTGTCTTTTTTAAGAAACTGCCACAGCCACCCCCAACCTTCAGCAACCACCACCCTAATCAATCAGCAGCCATCAACATCTAGGCAAGACCCTCACCCAGCAAAAAGATGACTCACTATAGGCTCAGAGGATAATTAGCACTTTTTAGCAATGAAGTATTTTTTAATTAAGGTAAGTACTTTTTTTAGAGAATGTTATTGTGTACTTTATAACAGACTACAATAGAGTGTAAACATAACTTTTATATATACTGGGAAAACAAAAACTTTGTGTGATTCGCTGTTGTGATATTCACTTTACCGCAGTTGTCTGGAACTGAACCTGCAGTATCTATGGGGTATATCTGTAGTAATCATGATTGTGTGGTACTGGCAAAATGAGAGCCGTTAACCTACTGACCAGAATAGAGTGTCTAAAAAAAAAAAGCCATACAGAAATTATAAATTGATTTTTGAAAAAAAGCACCAAGGTAATTCAACAGAGAATGAATAATATTCACAAGAAATGTTGCTGGAACAACTAAATATCAATATGAAAAAAAAAAAAACATGACCTCAACTCATATCTTGCACCAACTGTAAAAATTAACCCACTATGGGCCATTGACCAAAAAGTAAAATCTGAAATTACAGGACTTCTAGAACAGGGGTGGGGAACATCCGGCCCGCAGGCTATATTAGACCTGCAAAATAATTTGTTCTGGTCCTGCAAAGGCATTAGGGGGTGAGTCAATTAAATGTATGACAGGCTAATTTTTAAGCTGATATAACTGGCTAATTTTTAAGCTGATAATTTTTGTATATTCCGGGAATGATGTTATAAATATCCAAATGGTCCCTTGGCATATATAAGCTTCTCCACTCCTGTTCTAGAAGGTAACAAAAAAGAAAATCTTTGTTTTTTGGTACACAGATATGGGTGGCAAATAAACACATGAAAAGATACTCAGCACCATTACACAATGAAAAATGCAAATTAAACCACAATAAGATACCAGTACATATCCATCAAAATGGCAAAAACAACAACTAAACAAAACAAACCTAACAATACTAAGTATTACCAAGGACGAGAATTGATAGTAAAGGTTATAAAGTGATTTTATAATAAATAATTTAAATTACAAATAAGGAACAGGTCTTATTAATTCTTAATGCTTACATTGTTTTACAGAGTGTTTGGGACAGAATGATCATTCAAGTATTTGTCAATAAGTAAAGTATTATTTGCATTTCCTAATAGAAGAGTTAGCATTGGATTAAAAGAGGCCACATGTTCCAAAGTTCACATTGGGAAAACATTACTTTCCTTGAATGCATGTGGTACTTAGTACGGTGTGTCTAAGAGGATAAGGCTTTAAGGAATCAGCATTTCTAGTGAGTGAGTTACCTAAGCCTCAGTAGCCACATTTAGAAAAAGGACATAATAGCCAAAACCGGTTTGGCTCAGTGGATAGAGCGTCAGCCTGCGGACTGAAAGGTTCCAAGTTCGATTCCGGTCAAGGGCATGTACCTTGGTTGCGGGAACATCCCCAGTGGGGGGTGTGCAAGAGGCAGCTGATCTATGATTCTCTCTCATCGATGTTCCTAACTCTCTATCCCTCTCTGTAAAAAAAATCAATAAAATACATTTTTTTTAAAAAAAGAAAAAGAAAAAGAAAAAGGACATAATATTTATCCCACCTTTTTCACAATTACAGGGATCAATGAGATAATGGATTTGAAAAGTCTTTTACAAATGGTAAATCAATATATAAACACTAGAGGCCTGGTGCATGAAATTTGTGCACGGGTAGGGTCCCTAGGCCTGGCGATCAGAGCCAATCTGTGGGATGACCAGTAGGGCAATCAGGAGGCCCCCATTGGCCCCACTGGCACCTGCCTTAGCTGGCCTGGCACTGCCCAATCACTGACCACAGGTCGCCTCCCTCTGCGGGGTTATGGGCTGGGCGATCTGGACACCCACCTCCCTTGCTGTCTGGCCTGTGGCCTATGTTGAGCATCTACCCCCTGGTGGTCAGTGCGTGTCATAGCGACTGGCGGTTCTGCTGTCCTCAATTTGTATATTAGGCTTTCATTATACAGGATTGTTTAAATACTTCAGTATTATCATCCATATCAAGCTGTTTAAAGTAAGAGAGAACACTTCTCAAAATCTTTACAAGGAATAAGATTTTAAAATCTCACTCCTTTCTTCAAAGGTTGATTAATGTTTTCTGGCAACGTATAAGTTTTACTAACAATGAAACCTAGAAAACTCAACAGCTGCATACCCTGGGAAGGGCCACAAGTCCCACCACACTGCTGCTGTGCCGCCTGGGGAAGGCCAATACTCTCCAGCTCCACCGTCCCCGCCAATGTAAGTAATGTCTGTAAAATTCTTACCTAATAAGCAATTAGGACAGTCAAAAAAAGAAGAAGTACTGAATGAAGGTGGCTCATTACAACTTCTAGCTTTGCAAGAGGAAAGGCCTGAACTTTTTACACTCTATCCCTTGTACAACATCAAATAAAATTAACGAATATCTGTTAATATTT